GGTATAGCTAGGCTCCAAAATTACTCATAAAAAAGACAATCTTTGGAAAATAAGGTGACCAATCGAGCTGATGAACCATTAATGTTCGAACATGCACTGCATGCATGTAATTAAGAAGCATGCATACTAGTATATAACAATGGTGTTGTACTACACAATTCAGTTCAATTCAATTTGAGTTTAATACTGTTCTTACAAAGTTCCGATCCTAGAATTAACAATACTCCTAAATGACAAATCAGCTGCTAGTAATCACTCTTTTTTTGGACATAGCTAGTAGTTACGTACTCTTGGGAGGTGGAAAAGATGGGTAGGAAGAATTGATATTGAACTCATCACCCAAAAAGTTGCAGAAATTATCTACTAGTATTTCGTAGTCAGGTGGCAGCTGCTGCAGGTTAACTTCATCGTCGCGTAAAAGAATGCTCTCTAACTCCTTCAGCTTTTCCCTCAAACCATCGTCAAACTGACCACCGGTGGCCGTGTGATCCACTGCCGCCGTCTCTCCATGTACTCCGGTCAATGTTGCAGCCGGTTGCGAATCAACTGCCGGCGGCTCCGGCGGCGGGAGAAATAATGGCACCCCATTCATCACACCCACACTATTAACCTCCGAAGAACTACTGCCGCCGGGTGCGGAGGTTTCGTGACCCATTGTGTTTGACGAATCACCGCAAGCGAAAAGCTCCTCTAAACGGCGGAAGTCATCGTGAAACGGCGGCTGCGAGTCAACTGCCAGCGGCTCCGGCGGCGGGAGAAATAATGGCACCCCATTCATAACACCCACACTATTAACCTCCGAAGAACTACTGCCGCCGGGTGCGGAGGTTTCGAGACCCATTGTGTTTGACGAATCACCGCAAGCGAAAAGCTCCTCTAAACGGCCGAACTCATCGTGAAACGGCGGCTGCGAGTCAACTGCCAGCGGCTCCGGCGGCGGGAGAAATAATGGCACCCCATTCATAACACCCACACTATTAACCTCCGAAGAACTACTGCCGCCGGGTGCGGAGGTTTTGGGACCCATAGTGTTTGACGAATCACCGCAAGCCAAAAGCTCCTCTAAACCGCGGAACTCATCGTGAACTGGCGGCTGCGAGTCAAGTAACGGCGGAAACGGAGGCTGCGAATCAAGAAACAGCGGAAATGGAGGCTGAGAATCAAGAAACGGCAGAAATATTGGAGGCTGCGAATCAAGAAACGGCAGAAATAGAGGCTGCGAATCAAGAAACGGCGGAGACGACGGTAGATGTAACAACTGTGCGCTATTCATCATCTGATCATTATTGCCCGGTGACGGTTTTGGCAAGTCAACGTTAGTCTTGCCAGATTTTTCACCACTTTCAGGATCTGGGTTCTCTGATTCTTTTTCGAAAATGCTACACAGCACTACATCGTCGACTCGATTCTCATTCTCCACGTACTTGTCGTCTAAAATGTACTCATGCATGATCCATTTCTTCGTCGCCTCATTCTGGGGAGGATTATCGTAAAACCTGTAACCAAGAACGATCTTTTTTCCGATCACCGCCGACCCATCTTTGACTAGCGCCGTTTTACCTGCAGTGACCTTCCACTGACCCTTCCCGTCCCGCGTAGAGCGGTGTTGTATTGACCTGTTCCTGTACTGTTTGTCTGGCTCTGAGAAGAAGTAGGCGGACGTCTGTCCGGGCTTCGGCGGGTTCTCAAGAAGAAGATCGGAGGGCTGCTTCGCGTAAATGTTAGCGTCGTAGATGAGATCTTGGGGGAAATCCCGACCGTTCACCTTTGGAAGAAGGAAATCCTTGACAAGTGTTTGGTCAGAGACTGGACCTTCCATAGCTGAGAGGATGAAATAGCTCTACTGGTTGAATTGCGGTGGTTTCTTGAAAATGGAGAAGCAAAAAAAGACGGTATTCCGAAGGGTGTATTCCAAATTAAATGGACCGGGGATGGTGGAAGCTGAAGACGTATAGATTCAGAATCCGGTATTCCAAATGGATTTTTTCACCCTTTTAATCTCATCGGAATGTCCCCTTTTTAATCTTGTATTTCCAATCTCTTATGGAGTATTTATTTTTTAATTTTTCTTGGGCCATTTGTACAGGTTTTTTTTAAAGGGAGTTATCCATCCATATTATTGGACATTTTTAGTTGCAACTTGCAACCACTCTTCTAAAAATGGTTCTAGGTGGTCGACTTGTCCCTACTTAAACGCTTGACAGTGATCGAGCGCCCCCAGGGACGTAGTTAGGGAGGGGCCATTCCTGACTTAATTGTTACGGTAAAAAATTTTGTGTAAATTTTTTTCAAAAAATATTCTTTGTACCGGCCCAGTGCGGCCTAGTGCTCTGGCTTGGTCCCGGTTCAACCCAATTTTTAAAAATGTTTATATTTTTAGGGTAAAAAATTTTGTGCATATTTTTTCCAAAAAATTCTTTATACTAGTCCAAGCCGGTCCAGTGCCTTGGCTCCGCTCTGAGCGCCCTGATTTTAGTCTAGGTGCTCCAACTAATTGATTAGGAAGCGATTTATCAGATGTATCAGGGCAACATACTAGATCTAGAATTTTTTTGGCAGATTTTGGCAGCCGCAAGCAGCTTCGATCCGAAATGGCCTGGGTTTCCATTAGGGGTGAGCACCGATCCAAGGCTTGACAAGAACCAGAATTCTAAAACATAGTGTACTGAAGTAGCCATTCTATCTAGAAATATCTTCCTTAGAGAAGAGAATAGGTGGTATATATACCTCTAAAGGAGCTCCAAACAACCCTCTTTCAATCCAATTCCCAAAACTCCAAGGGAGAGAGAGATTGTCAACTAGCCCTACTTGGAATCTAGCTGGTGAATGAGAGGTCCGACAGCGATACTTCGACCTTCTGCCCTGTCTGAGGATTGGTGCACTTGATAATCCTGATATCAACGCTGCTCTCTTTGATTAAAAAATGGCATTTTTTTACACTGGTAGGAGGTAGTGGTGCAGGGAGCTCCCTCGAGGCAGTACAAGCGGTGGGAAATTCATCCATACTTTTTTTTGTAGATTTTTACTGTTCTTTATTAATTATTATATATTTTTAAAAAAATTATTTTTATAAATATTTGTTAGTTTTTATAAATTTTTTTACTTTTTTTTTATGTTTTTATACAGAATTAAAACATTTAAATATTACTTTTGAGTACCTTTTACTCATATTTAAAGGAGGGGTATCAATGGAAAGAAGAAACAGGTATGTTTCAAAATAGGAGTAATATGATCTTGTTTTGGAATAAAAACATAAGTAGTCATATTTTTTATTTTTACCTTAGTTTTATTCCTATTTAGAGTAATTTCTAATAATTAATCTCATGCATGATTGTACGAAGTATATATGAAGTAGAAGGCTAGTCATCTATCTATTTACAACCCTGCTATAGGTACCTCATTTTGTACCCCAATTTGTACCTCAATCTATTTGTGTGGCTCACAAAAGCTCACTTCAATAAATTGCTCCACTTAAATGACCTGCTTTTGTGAGGCACAAAAATAGGGTGGGGTACAAATTGATGAGGTACCTTTAGCATTTTTGATCTAGTACTCGGGGACCAAAATATGTAGTAAGCGATGCCATAAAAACAAAGCAATGATAAATACGAAGTATGTATGAAACTAGCTTGTTGCAATAAAAATACAAATGCACTTTATATCATAAATTATACTCCCTCCGTAACATAAATTACTTTCCAAAATCGCTTAACGTAGGTCTTGACAAGCTAATTAAGGTAACCCTTCGGTCCCTTCATATATCACTGCCATTCTGCCAAACATTTAAATGATCAATCATTTGTTATTGTTGAGTATTTGAACGAACTTTGAACGCCAAGTACAAACGTATGTATACATGCATGATGCATACGTACGTACAAATGCAGTAAATTATGGACAGATGTTTGTTTTTGTGGTGATCAAAGTTCTTAGACTTTGATTCACCCTTTTTTTCAAGATAAATTTATAAACGAAGCAACGATTTAAGATTACAACGCAGTTACTCACACTAAAGTTTAAACCCACTACTTGATCATGCATCATGCATGCAACTATAACTACCTTTACGTAAAACCTATTTAGAACTAATACAAAATAAGATGGAAATTCCACGTATGAAAAAGAAACATGACTAAGCAAAGTTTATTTCCACATTCACCACCTTAAATTTTGCATTTTTATTTGCTGAACTTCAGCCCAATTTTCTGGCGTAGCTCAAGAAACCTTTGCTTTGAGAGTGGTTTTGTAGGAATGTCTGCTATCTGGTTTTCAATTCTCATATGCGCTAGATTGGTGTCATTTTTTCAATGTATTCACGTATGAAATGAAACTTTGTGTCAATATGTTTGCTCTTCTAGCTCATATCACTACAAGAAAACCAGTTTTTAACTACGAAAACTAATGACGGGCAGAGAATCCCCTCAGTAATAATAATATTTCTAGAGCTTTTGTGAGGGGAAAAATCCTCTAATAAAAATAATGAGGAAATTTGGTTTCTAATTTTCTATACTCTCATTATTGCTAGTTGAAAATTGTAAGACCGTCACTATTTGTAATTGGCAACCCGCTCTTATACTTTCCGATAGCGCCAAATAAAAAAATCCCGCAATCCCGCCTAACAAATCAAAGAAAAACCCTAAAATTCTTTCTCTACTCTCACCTACCGAGCTTGCGCCTTCATCTCTATTCTTCATCATCGTCTTTCGGAATCTCCATCTCTGTGCCATCGTTGATGCCCTAAGGCTTTGTTTGCAAACACAACTAAAAAAGCACTTCCCAGCTTTTGGCTTAAAAAGCTAAAAAGATGTTTTCAAATGATAATTTCTACTTAAATGAATTACTTAAAAGCTAGAATCTGTTTTTTACTTTTTCTATTACACAAAAAGCATTTATTTTACCAAACATCACCAACTTTTACTTTTCAAAATCACTTTTTTCTCAAACACTACCAACATTTACTATTAATCACTTTTTTACCAAATAATTTAAAAAAGTTAAAAGCTTTTCTCAGTTGGATTTGCAAACAGAGCCTAAGTCTTTATCCCTTTTCGATTCGATTCATCTCTGCTGTTAGAATCGGGATTCACATCGTTCATTCTTGGATTCCCAGGGTTGAATTAACTGATTCCCCGATTCTTCTTGGACTACCTGGTTCTCAAATTCATCTATGGTCTGACGAGTTAATTACCAGGTTTCGCATCCCTTTTCTTTTATATATTCTTACAGTTCTCTTATATATGCATTCAAAATTTTCTAGGTTTGATTTAGCTTCTGAAATTAGTTCATTAATGACTACAATTTGTGTTGTTGTTGACTTCTCTTACAATTTCGATTGGATTTTGATTGTTATGAAAATTATTGTAACGATCAATTATGATTTTAAAATTGAAATAGAAAATCGATTTACACTTTCAGTTTGAAGCTTATGTATGTTATGGAATTTATTATGCACGTTCTGAAACTAAAATTTTATTTCTTATTTTTTTTCGATAATATGTAAGTATATTAGAGACCGAAAAATAGCATTTTACAATGAATCAAATCCAAATCAAAATGACTATCTAAGCTAGAAAAATCTAACCTAGATATAATGAATCAAAGTAATGGGACAGTGCCCACTTCACAAATCACTAATTAAAGATATTAGGTTTCCCTAATTTAACAACCAAGGAAAAATCGGAAAGGTTTAGTGAACTTGAATCAAAGCGAAAAAGTGAGACCCGGCAAGCCCTCAAGACATTCAACGGTAAAAGTGAGACCCTTTCTATCCAAATCATCCGTAAGTCGAAGGAAATTGTCCACTCGAATCACATTAGCATGCACGGATTTAAACAGTTTGACAAACAACTTGAGTGTCTTGCCGTTTATCACCTCACATTTTATAACAACATCATCAAGCTTCACATCCTTTTTATCCATGACTATCCTCTCGCCATCATCCAAAGAAGGTCTCTGTTCAGTCAGTTTAATCACGTCAGATGCATCCTGGACAATGTTCTGCACTGAAGACCCGATCAGGTCCTTCGCACACTCGGGTGGGTGGGGAATCTGCAGCTGAGTCTCGGGCGGGCCAGGGGCAAGCCCGGTCGGGTCTGACCCCTGGGCAGCAGGTTGTGGCCTAGTTGACCCCTTCTCTATATTTTCATCTTTTTCCTTTCTCCGTTCTAAATCAGTTTCCTTATCCTCCCGTTTTGCTAGTTTCTGACAAATAAATGGGTGATGTCCATATTCTTTGCAATGAAAGCAAAAGTTAGGGAAAGTTTCATAAACCACAAATTGTTTGATTACCTTACGGGAAGGTAGTCGAATAGGGAAGTGAAGCGGTGGTGGCTTTGAAACATCGACCTCAATAAGAACTCTAGCATAGTCATTGTTTGCCCTTTCTTGAGTGATTTTATCTATGGTTAATGGGACCCCGACCATTGATGTCACCTCACTCATAGCATCATCATTCCATAAACTCATTCGTAGTTTAGGGAATTTGATCTAAATTGGAATTTTTAGAAATTCCTCATCCTCAAAGGTGAAATCCTCTGAGAGTACTTTAAGCATTAGGAGGTCCCTCGAGTATTACCTTCAATCTATCCTCTTCATTTTGAAACTTAAAAATTATCCAGCCCTTATTATGCGACCTTACAAGGCATTGTACCCCCCATTTAGCTTTCAAATCGTGGACCGCTTTGAATCCGGGGAATTTACCGGTAAAGTGTCACACTAGGCAGTAGTACTCGGTCACCAAAGTCCAATGTTTCGCCTTTCGGTGGAACATATTTCAGCTTAATCCCATTTTTTGGATCACGGTTGTCTCTAAACAGGGAGTTCCGAGCAGCAGATTGAACCCCTTTATGTTTTTCTGCCAGCATACAAGTCTGGCCAGCACCACCTTTGATCCCTTTAGGCTCAATCGTTTTTGCATTAGTAGCATTATCCCCTGCAACATTTGTTTTTCCCAGGCTAGCGTGAGACTCCCCTGCACAATGTCCTGCCTCAATGGAAACCGCCCCAGGTAGCTTAAGAACTGGGAATTCTTCATCAATGTCAGCAAGGAGGGAGAGCTTGGACCTGGTAGCACGCCCAGTTGGTGACTCCACAGTCTTCTTCCTCACCATAATTCGCAGCTTTCTTGAAACCGATACAAACTGTCGGCTATGAACAGTGTTTCTTCAAGCTCTTAGAGTTCGCACCCCTTCATCACCATTCCCGACGTGAAACAGTAGTCAGAAGCAAAGTTTTGACCTCTTAAAGTTCGCACCCCTAAGTAACCATCGTTCTTCAAGCTCGGATTTCCAGAAGATGAACTTTGCCTGATGATCAAACCAAGTTTATTTGCTTAATTGTCACACCCAGGGGAGCCTAAAAACACCTTCCAATCGAAGTTATATATTGTATAATTTCTGATTAAAACCAGTCCAAAAAAGCTCAAAGGTGAGCTCGAAAATTGAAAGAATTACACCCCAATGAATTAGGATGAAACCCAGCCAATATCCAAGCTTGACGATGAGGATGATCGAGTGATTTGGGAAGTACGTAGAAGAGCCTCGAAAGAGGGAGAGAATCAGCTCTCAACTTCAATTTTTTTTTATTTCTTATTGTCTCAATTGGTGGGAGCTAAAGCTGATTGAATGACTATTTAAAATTATTTGGAATGAATGGATAATCCGTATCCAAATATCGTCTTGAAAGCTAAAAAGTTTAGATTTAATGATTTAATGTTCTATTTTATGAGTTGAGTGGGTTTGTATGAACTATTTCTAATAGTAGTTCTCTTGATCTGCTATTGTTTACTCCTCATTATTAACTCTCTTTGGGAAGTCACTGCTTGTATTGGTATATAGGTTTGTGCTCCTTGTGCAGTTAGATAATAGACCGTGAGGTTATAGATGTTCACAAGTGGGAATTGCCCACAAAGAATCGTTACATGTGAATACTGTGAGTTTCCTTCACCTGCAGTTGATTTGCTAAATCACCAAGTAACCCTCATTTATAAATGATTTTTAGCATTTCATCCCATATTCTGAGTTTTTCTATCATCCCAATCTCTCTGGAAATGTGTGGGAGTTGTACATAACTTTGTCACTTTCTAGCAGATACATCAAATTGCGTGAAAGGAATGTTCATGACAGCAGATGCAGTGCTCGAAACTTCAGTTAATGATGTTACGAAGTCTTCCAGGTATTCCATTTCTTCTGTTTTATAGAGAAAGTAAGATTGTTATTGTTGCAACTCTCTTAGAGTGTTTTTGGATCCTAGACAACGCTAGGGAAAGAAAATATGAAGGGAAATTAAGGTGAAGAAGCTCAGGAAAGAATTAATTCACAAGTAACTTAAGTCTAATCCAGGTTGCAAGTCCAACTATCAAAAAAGATGAGAAAGAAAGGATCAAGCACAACCAGGCATGATTCAAATGGTAGAAAATAGAACCATTGTTCCTAATAACTTTCATGCATGAACTTTCTATAGATCCACTAATTATATAATGGGAAATTACTTCAAGCAATAACAACTATTTTCTATAAACTTAATATATCAAAAGTAGGTTCTGTAAGCTTTTTGTAACTTAGTTAGGTTGATGATATTTCAACTCAGGATCACATTCTCGTATCATCTCAACATTGGAATTCCTTTTTCATCTAATTATTTCAGCTGAAATGTTTATTTAAATGTTCTAATCCCATTAGGGGTTGATGAATTTCTTATTGCTTCCTTCTCCCATTGAAGGTTCTGTGTACTCCCCCACTTCCAGAATTGCAAGGAAGCTACTGGAATCGTGAAGGTAAGATTTTAAATACATATTTCTACTAGAACTCTTATGTCATACCAGGGCTTGTTTTGTTTGGAGATTTTGGAAGAGAGGAAAGGATTAGTTCTGTTTTTCTACTAGAAAATACCTACTCCTTGTGTGTGGAATTTCAAACTGACAGGTAAAGAAAATTATAGGAGAAATGTGGAATAAAACAAAGCGTGAGAAGAAAATAAAGCCATTGTCCAAGCTCAATTGGTTAAATTTGATGTTAAATTATATATAGACACAAAAATATAACAAATGTTAGAAAAAAGTTAATCATATTTCATTTTCCTTTTGTTCTGGTTGCAATTTTCAGTTGATCGTAGATAAGTGTGTTTAGTATACTCATGTTTATAACTCAATATCTTTGAACTCCATATCTTTCACTTCTAAGACATGATTATTTTCTTATATGAGTTCTCAGCATTTACCCAGTAAAGCAATATTTCATTCTTACTAATGCATTAAAATTCTTTTAAATGTGTATATGTACTCATAGGTTGAAATGCAGCAGGTGCTGAAACTATGCCATGATGTTATCTGGAATTCGAGCCAAAATACTCTTAACTGCACTTCTCACAAATTTATGGTTCTAAACGGTGATTTCTCTTTAAAGAAAAAGGCAAACTAACTTCCAGGGCAATGCTTTGAGAAGTGTTGCTTATTCACATATCCCTTTTTGTGTTCTTTAATTTATTTGTCATTAGGTGCAGTGGCGGATCTTGTACATAAATTTTGAAGATTCAAATTTATTTTATGAGTTTTGGGTGTTCAAATAGATATATAAGTGTTTACACTAGCATCCATATATATGTATTTTTGCACTACTAGTTAAAAAATTTGGGTGTTCACATGAACACTTTTGAACATATGCAGGTCCGCCCCTGATTAGGTGTAAAAAGTGGAGCTGATGGATGAAGTTCAAGTGAGAGGAGTAGAGGGGATGAAAATTACAGCTCCTGCTTAAATTTAACAAGACCAACCACTGTGATTAGCAATCCTTGGGAGTTAGGGAATGAATATTCCAAACAAAGTCTTAAGTCTAAACAAGTGGCTTCTAACCTAGCAGAAGCTTGGGAGAAGAAGACTCTTTTGGAAAACTATAATCTGAAGAGGATTGCTAATTTGGACAACTGAGTGTGATATGCGAGATGAAGATTGTTTCGGAAAGCTATAATGTGATTATGTGAAGATGATTGCTAATTTGGACAATTGAGTATAATCTGGCAAATGTACCACTGAATGTTGTTTTCATAGCGTTGGTTTACTCCGTAACATGATGTTGGAAAGATATATAATTGCAAATTCTTATGTTTTCTTGTTCAAGCATCTCGTGACACTTCTATGCACCCACTATATATGATGGTACTTCCTATCATTAAAACATTATGATCAGAAAAGTTTCTTATTGTGGGCCGTGGCTAGTTGTATTAATGACAGTATCTTTTGTCATAAAAGAACCTTTTAATGAGGGTGAATAGACTCTCATTGCATACTCATTAATGACGGGATTGTATTCTTATCATTATTTACTTTTAACCGCGGAAGCAGTAGTGATGGACTGACGGTGGGTGACAGGAAATTTCCTCTCATTAAAACTCTTCTATAGGGGTGGACTCGGACCGGGCAGCCCGGCCCAGAACCGGCCCGGCCTAGTCACTGTTTGAACCGGCCCAAACTGCCGGCCCGGCTAGGGACCGGTCCTGGAAGGCCCGACCCGCTGGGGTTCCGGGCCGGGCTCGAGCCCCTGAAAAGGTGAACCGGCCCGGCCGGTTCGGGCCAATTTTTTTTTCTTTTTTTTCTTTTTGAATTGTTTTTATGTTTTTGGGTTGGGTTGGGTACTTTGGGCCATTTGAGGTGGTTTGGGGGTGTTGAGTTTAATCCAACACGATATAGTAAATATATGTATAAATGTGTATGAACAACTCAGTTTTTACGTGGAAACCCGAAAGGGAGAAAACCACGGGACTTTTTAGGCTAATGTCCAAGCCCTCTCTTTCTCATTAGGACTCTCCTCACAATTACATTGTACAAGCTCCCATTAATGGAGTATTGAGCTAAGTCTAAAAGAATGAGGGAGGTGAAGCTAAAAAAGGATCCTTTTACATGGAGGGAAACCTCCTATTTATAAGGAATAGGGGGAAAGGGGGCTCTCCACCCTAACGGGCCGAATGGGCCAACCTGGGCCCAAAGGCCGAAACAGGCCTGATAGGCTAAAATGGGCCTTACTGATTGGGATCCATACTACGTAAAGTCTTGGACTCCTGAACAGTAATAGGCCGGGATAATATATCCCAACACAAGTCCCCCAGTTTCTTGAGTAGTGAGCGTGCGAATCTGCTCGAGAAAGTATACTCTTGCCTGCGCTCTTCCTCTGTCTTGCTGGAAACTGTGTCTTCGAATAATCATAATATATGAGTGGATATCCACACTCCTGAACGTAAGCTGCCGGTGAGGCACCCCCGTTCCCGACGGGGTCGGGCGGAGGGTGCTCCTCCACGGGCACGCTCCCCCTGAATGCATCAGGCGAGAGTAAAGGACTCTGACTCGAGCTTTCCAACGGAGAAGCTTAGAGGTCCATGCATCTACAAACCGACGTCGCGGTACTGTCAAAACATGATGCACATGTGTATGTATGAATGTATGAGGTATGATGCATGAATGTATGAATGCATGTAATGTATGAGTGCAATGTATGAGAGAAAGAATGTGAGATGTGATAGAAAGCGGTGGCTCTCATCGATAAACCGGGCATGTCAGCGCCGAGGGGCAGACGTGCTGCATAAGAGACATTCGTCGCCATCCTGAAAGGGATGGGCGACCCTAACGTGAGCCAGACACGATGGCGCTGGGGCGCTGATCGTGCTGCATAAGAGACGTTCGTCGCCATCCTGGAAGGGATGGGCGACCCTAACGTGAACCAGACACGATGGCGCTGGGGCGCTGATCGTGCTGCATAAGAGACGTTCGTCACCATCCTGAAAGGGATGGGCGACCCTAACGTGAGCCAGACACGATGGCGCTGGGGCGCTGATCGTGCTGCATAAGAGACGTTCGTCGCCATCCTGGAGGGGATGGGTGACCCTAACGTGAGCCAGACACGATGGCGCTGGGGCGCTGATCGTGCTGCATAAGAGACGTTCGTCGCCATCCTGGAGGGGATGGGCGACCCTAACGTGAACCAGACACGATGGCGCTGGGGCGCTGATCGTGCTGCATAAGAGACGTTCGTCGCCATCCTGGAGGGGATGGGTGACCCTAACGTGAACCAGACACGATGGCGCTGGGGCGCTGATCGTGCTGCATAAGAGACGTTCGTCGCCATCCTGAAAGGGATGGGTGACCCTAACGTGAGCCAGACACGATGGCGCTGGGGCGCTGATCGTGCTGCATAAGAGACGTTCGTCGCCATCCTGGAAGGGATGGGCGACCCGAACGTGAAAGAGACACGATGGCGCTGAGAAGCCGATCGTGCTGCATAGGACGGTCGTCGCCATCCTGGAAGGGATGGGCGAGCCGAACCGTGAAGCCAAGTACGATGGCGCTGAGGGGCCGATCGCACTGCATAAGGGACGTTCGTCGCCATCCTGGAAGGAATGGGGCGATCCGAACGTGAAAGAGACACGATGGCGCTGAGAAGCCGATTGTGTTGCATAAGACGGTCGTCGCCATCCCGAAGGGAATGGGCGAGCCGAACCGTGAAGCCAAGTACGATGGCGCTGAGGGGCCGATCGCACTGCATAAGACGTTCGTCGCCACCCTGGAAGGAATGGGGCGATCCGAACGTGAAAGAGACACGATGGCGCTGAGACGCCGATCGTGTTGCATAGGACAGTCGTCGCCATCCTGAAGGGAATGGGCGAGCCGAACCGTGAAGCCATGTACGATGGCGCTGAGGGGCCGATCGCACTGCATAAGGGACGTTCGTCGCCACCCTGGAAGGAATGGGGCGATCCGAACGTGAAAGAGACACGATGGCGCTGAGAAGCCGATCGTGCTGCATAGGACGGTCGTCGCCATCCCGAAGGGAATGGGCGAGCCGAACCGTGAAGCCAAGTACGATGGCGCTGAGGGGCCGATCGCACTGCATAAGACGTTCGTCGCCACCCTGGAAGGGAATGGGGCGATCCGAACGTGAAAGAGACACGATGGCGCTGAGAAGCCGATCGTGCTGCATAGGACGGTCGTCGCCATCCCGAAGGGAATGGGCGAGCCGAACCGTGAAGCCAAGTACGATGGCGCTGAGGGGCCGATCGCACTGCATAAGGGACGTTCGTCGCCACCCTGGAAGGGAATGGGGCGATCCGAACGTGAAAGAGACACGATGGCGCTGAGAAGCCGATCGTGCTGCATAGGACGGTCGTCGCCATCCCGAAGGGAATGGGCGAGCCGAACCGTGAAACCAAGTACGATGGCGCTGGGGCGCTGATCGTGCTGCATAAGAGACGTTCGTCGCCATCCTGGAAGGGATGGGCGACCCTAACGTGGGCTAGACACGATGGCGCTGAAGCGCTGATCGTGCTGCATAAGAGACGTTCGTCGCCATCCTGAAAGGGATGGGCGACCCTAACGTGAGCCAGACACGATGGCGCTGGGGCGCTGGTCGTCGTTCGAGGCAAAAGAAAACTTGATGTTAGCCGATCGTCGTCGGCCACTTCATTCTTCGTACTTAAGTTTTGTAATTATTCTTTACATATGTTTTTCAGTTTGTACTTCCCGGCCAATAGCGCCGAGGGATAAAATCATTCTTTGCTCCGTGCTCTTCTAGCATTTTTTTTTTGGAGTCTTTTAGTCTTCGTTCGTCATTGGCCCTTGGTCCTACCGGCGTTCTTACATCGAAGATACGTTCGGTATCCGCGGACATCGCAATGAGGAACAGGTATATCTACATCGAGATTCCCCCTTTTTCGTTCGTCCCTGGTCCTTTTAGTCTTACCGGCGTCTCTTGCATCGAAGAAGACGTTCGGTACCCAAGGAACTCGCAGGGACGAACTGGTTTACCCTCACGGGTTCCCGTCTTTGTTATCCCACGTCCATCGATCCATGGTCATTGTGGGATGAACAGGTTTATCTTGGCAAGGCTCCCTTGGTTCGTCTAGCCCCCTCCGCGTCTCTACTAACCTCTACATCGAGAGGTGTTCGTCTTCGGCGGTGGGAGAAGATCTGGCACACCCGGGCAAGATTCCCTTCCACATAGGAGCTACCCTCCTCTTCTCCCCATCTTTTTTTTTTTGTTTTTTTTTTTGGCTTCTTTTTTTTTTTTTTTTTTTTTTTGTTTGAGGGAGGCAATCTATATTCTTCGTTCGTCCTTGGTTCTTGGTCCTACCGGCGCTCTTTCTTCGAAGAGACGTTCGGTATCCGCGAAACTCGCAAGGAGGAACAGGTTTATCTACATCGAGATTCCCTATCTCTTCTTTGTCCGTCCCTGGTCCGTGGTCCTACCGATCTTCCTACATCGAAGAAGACATTCGGTATCCAAGAAACTCGCAGGGATCACGGGATGTCACACATAATGGTGGTGGCATAGCGAACGAATATAATGACGAGGCGATAGAATAGCTAGTCGTCATGCGAAGGCGATGGTCACCCTCCTGGAGGGGAGTCGTGAGCCCAATCGCAAACTCAAGAGGGTCGGCATTGGGAGCCGACAACAATGATCATAATGCCGCTGAGCAGTCGGTCCTGATAAGGAGATGACAATAGTGTCCGATCAGGCCGATATATCCAAGCAACGGCTCTCATCCACGCAGCGCGGGGATGAAACCGGTCTTCAAAAGATAATATGTCGTGCCGAGAAGCCGAACATAACATGATAGTGTCGGCAGTGAGAGGCCGACCTAAAAGAAACAAACAACGGTCCTCGTCCGCGATGTGGCGGGGACGAGGCCGGTCTTCAAAAGATAAGCACGCCAAGCCGAGAGGCCGGTCGTGGTATGATGATGTCGGCGATGAGAGGCCGAACATGATGTGACAATGTCGGCAATGAGGGGCCGACCTACAAGAGTCAAGCAGCGGCCCTCATCCGCGAGGAGCGGGGACGAGTCCGGTCTTCAAAAGATAAGCACGCCGAGCCGAGAGGCCGGTCGTGATATAATGGTGTCGGCAATGATAGGCCGACCTGAAAGAACCAAGCAGCGGTCCTCGTCCGCGAGGTGTGGGGACGAGGCCGGTCTTCAAAAGATAAGCACGCCAAGCCGAGAGGCCGGTCGTGGTATGATGATGTCGGCGATGAGAGGCCGAACATGATGTGATAATGTCGGCAATGAGGGGCCGACCTACAAGAGTCAAGCAGCGGCCCTCATCCGCGAGGAGCGGGGACGAGTCCGGTCTTCAAAAGATAAGCACGCCGAGCCGAGAGGCCGGTCGTGATATAATGGTGTCGGCAATGATAGGCC